AAGCTAAAAATTTTTATTAAATTGCGGGGAAAAGAATAATATGTGACTCTTTACGTAGCAATAGACCAAACGCAGCAAATATTAAAAGCTCAGTTTTCCGTGAACATGCGAAGAAAAATGAGCCTTATTTATTGGCAAAGTTGGTTGCTTTTCAACGTGAAAATTTGCAAAATGTACACTCGTTACTTTGCCAACGACATCTAAATCCAATATATTAAAATTAAAATAAATGGCTTGAAAAAAATATTTTAATTTTTTTACTTGCAATGTTAAATTTAATGTTGTAAAAGATGATAATTTTTTTCGAAAATTATCTTTGGGAATAACGAAAAAAAATCAAAAAAGTAAATATTTAATAAAAAAATATTCAGTTTTGCCAACATTGTTTTAAATATATGTTATAAAAGATTTTTAAAAATTATATTTAATTAAAGCACATTTATTGCTTTATGATTTTATTAAACAATATTATTAAGTTTATTACAAAATTTTGTATTAAAATATAATTAGAATCCTATAATTAAAAAATTAAAATATTTTCTTTTGAAGGTTTCTACTTTATCCGAAAAATATTGAGTTTCGAATTCCTTGACAAAGTTGCCTGTTTACATTTTGCATGTAACTATTTTATTGTATATGTCAGTTTCTAAGAAATTCTATACACATTATAGGATACATTTAATCTAATTAATTTCTTGTCAAAAAATTAAGAAAATTTTATTAACTATTAAACGAAAAAAACTTACATTACAGATGTCACTGTTGAAAAAGTAAATAGCAAGAGAAACAAATTTTGTTTTTAAATATTAATTTAGTTTTTTTTATGATGTAATCTTAATGGCCGAAAGAAAAGAATTTTTTATTTTTCATTTATTTCCAAAAGACACAGATTCAATTCTTAAAACTTGATACGTAAAAAAATCGTGTAACGTTTATATCGTACAATTATTAAATTTAAATGAGAAAAAGTAAACACTGCGGGAGACCGGGAGTAATGGCAAGACACGAACTACAGTCGACTGATTAATGAGCTATAGCAAAGTCAGCTGTGTTAGCCACCTTCAACTCAGCGTCGTATATTGAATTCTTAGGGGCCCTTTAAAAATATTATAATTTACATTTGCTAAATATTATTAATTAGTTAAATGTTTATGATTAAAATAAAAAATTTTTTGAATTTAAAGTTAAAAAAATTACAACAAAAACATAAATAAAACATTTTCTAATTAATAATGTTAGACAAATAATTCTGTACTTTGAAAAGTAGAATTAAAAAAGAGAAAAATATAAATTTGCCATGGAAATAATTTATCCAATATGATTGACAAATATTTAAAAAAAAAATTTTTTTTAAATTTAACCAAAGAGAAATATATTTGTCCAATAAAAATAATTAATGTAGATTGAATTTCATTAGACAATAAAATACTTCGTATATTTACAATGTGTTCTTAAATTTTTTTTAAAAAAAGCCTAGCCTTTTTGATTTTATAAAAAATATAATTAAAGAAAATTTTGAAATCAAAATTGTAATAAAAACTATGAAGCTAAAATTTTTTATTAAATTGCAGGGAAAAGAATAATATGTGACTCTTCACGTAGCAATAGACCAAACGCAGCAAATATTAAAAGCTCAGTTTTCCGTGAACATGCAAAGAAAAATGAGCCTTATGTATTGGCCAAGTTGGTTTGCTTTTCAACGTGAAAATTTGCAAAATGTACACTCGTTACTTTGCCAACGATATCTAAAAGCAATATATTAAAATTAAAATAAATGGCTTCAAAAAAAATATTTTAATTTTTTATACTTGCAATGTTAAATTTAATGTTGTAAAAGATGATAATTTTTTTAAAATTATCTTTGGGAACAGCAAAAAAATTTTTAAAAAGTTAATATTTATTAAAATAAATATTCTATTTTATCCTACATTTTTTAAATGATGATATAAAAGATTTTGTTAATATTAAATTTCATTAAAGCAAATTTATTGCCTTATGATTTTATTAAACATTATTATTAAGTTTCTAAAAAAAATTTATTTTGATTAAAATATAATTAGAATCCTATAATTAAAAAATTAAAATATTCTCTTTTGATGGTTTCTACTTTATCCGAAAAATATTGAGTTTCCAATTCCGTGACAAAGTTGCCTGTTTACATTTTGCATGTATTCATTAAATCGTATATGTCAGTTTCTCAGAAATTCCATACACATTACAGGATACATTTAATCTAATTAATTTGTTGTCAAAAAATTAAAAAAAATTTATTATCTATTAAACGAATTAAACTTACATTTTAGATGTCACTGTTGAAAAATAAATAAGAATAGGTACAAATTTGTTTTTAAATACTAATTTAGTATTCTTTTTGATATAATCTTAATGGCCGAAAGAAAAGAATTTTTTTATTTTTCATTTATTTCCAAAAGACACAGATTCAATTCTTAAAACTTGATAAGTAAATTTAAATGAGAAAAATTAAACACTGCGGGAGACCGGGAGTAATGACGAGACACGAACTACAGTCGACTGATTAATGAGCTATAGCAAAGTCAGCTGTGTTAGCGACCTTCAACTCAGCGTCGTATATTGAATTCTTAGGGGCCCTTTAAAAATATTATAATTTACATTTGCTAAATATTATTAACTAGCTGTCGCACCCGTCTTCGACGGTTATAATATTTAGATTTAATAAATTTTGAAATTTATAATTACATCCAATTGGATCTAATTTCAAAGAGTATAAAAGTAATTTTCGATTTTTTATTTTTACAATATCTGATTTCATATTTAGATTTGCCATTATTAATTTTAAAATTCTGATAAAATTCTTAAATTAAAATTCTTAAAATTTCTTGTTAAAAGCATACTTAATTGGTCACAAAATTTTAAATAAAGAACATTTAGTAAAGAATTATCAAAAAATAAAAAATGTTAAATTTTTTGAAAGTGTCATATTTTTGTTTAAATTAATATTTTTCATTGGTGTGCAGCTAAGATTGCGTTTAATACCCAACAGACTAAAAACATTATTGTTTTACTTATAAAAAGTTGAACATAACAAATTCTTATATTACAATGTTATTAAAAAAATTGGAAATTCAAAAATTTGATTTAGACTTTTAAATTCAGACTATTTACTTAATTTAATAAAAAAATTGATTGTATTTATGTGAAAAAATTAGGTACAAATAGTTTCAAATCAATCTGACAAAAAATAAAAAATTTGCATTTTTTTGATTTTTTTAAATTTTTTGAAAAAATGTCATAACTTTTGTTCATGTTAATATTTTTTAATCAAATATGGCTAAGATTTTAAGTTACGTTAAGACTGAATACACTGCCAAGTTTCACCTCAATCGGTTGAGCCGTTTTAAAGTTTTGCCGGTACAAAATATTGACGACAGACAGACAGACAGACAGAAAGACAGAATTTTTATTTATGGCATATTTGTTATCTTTACTACTTAAAATGATAAACTATTCAAGAAAAAATTAATTTGGAGCAATGTACAGACAAAACTCTGATTTTATTAATATAGATTAGTTAAATGTTTATGATTAAAATTAAAAATTTTTTTAATAAAAAATTAAAAAAATTATAACAAAAAACATAATTAAAACATTTCCTAATTAATAATGTTAGACACACAATTCTGCACTTTGAAATGTAGAATTAAACAAGACAAAAATATAAATTTGCCATGGAAATAATTTATCCAATATGATTGACAAATATTTAAAAAAATTTTTTTAAAAATTTAACCAATGATAAATATATTTGTTTATTAAAAATACTAAATATAAATTGAATTTCTTTGGACAATTTAATTTTTTCGATTTTTACTATGTGTTTTTATAAAATTTCAAAAAGCCTAGTATTTTTAAATTTATGAATGTACTTATATAATTTTAAAAAAATTTTAAATCAAATGTGAACATTGTAATAAAAATTATAAAGCTGAAAATTTCTATACAATTGCAGGATAACAAATATTATGTGACGCTTTACGATGCAATGGACTTAACGCGGTAATTATTAAAGGTTCAGTTTTCCGTGAACGTGTAAGGAAAAATAAGTCTTATGTATTGGCCAAGTTAGTCGCTTTTCACCGTGAAAATTTGCAAAACGTACACTGGTTACTTTGTCAACTACATCCAAATCCAATATATTAAAATTAAAATAAATGGCTTAAAAAAATATTTTAATTCTTTATTGTTGCAATGTTATATTTTATATTAAAAAAGATGACAATTTTTTTTAAATTATCTTTGGGAACAGCAAAAAATTTTCTAAAAAGTTACTATATATTAAAATAAAATATTCTATTTTTTCCTACATTTTTGTAAATAATTATATAAAAGATTTTTTTAATATTACATTATCATTAAAGCAAATTTATTGCCTTATGATTTTACTAATTATTATTATTAAGTTACTAAAATAAATTTTATTTTGTATTAAAATATAATTAAAATCCTATAATTAAAAAATTAAAATATTTTCTTTTGATGGTTTCTACTTTATTCGAAAAATATTGAGATTCCAATTCCTTGACAAAGTTGCCTGTTTACATTTTGCATGTATTCATTATATCGTATATGTCAGTTTCTCAGAAATTCCATACACATTACAGGATACATTTAAGCCAATTAATTTATATTCAAAAAATTTAGAAAAATTTTTTATCTATTAAAGGAAATAAACTTACATTTCAGATGTCACTGTTGAATAATAAAGAAGAAGATGTACAAATTTGTTTTTAAATATTAATTTAGTATTTTTTTTGATAAAATCTTAATGGCCGAAAGAAAAAATTTTTTTATTTTTCATTTATTTCCAAAAGACACTGATTCAATTCAATTAAAACTTGGTACGTAAAAAAATCGTATAACGTTTATACCGTACATTCATTAAATTTAAATGAGAAAAATTAAACACTGCGCGAGAACGGGAGTAATAGCAAGACACGAACTACAGTCGACTGATTAAGGCCTGAGCAGAATAGCGTCGTAATCGTAAGCGCAATCGCAAACGGAATCGTAATGGCGTTCCCGTTCCGTTTGCGATTGCGAGTTTATTGTGCGTTGATATCCGTAGACCGTTACTGTATAACCTAAAAATTTAATTTGTAGCGTCGGTTTGCCTCGTGGCTTTTTTAATGCAAGTATCAAAAGAACATTCCTATTTTTATAATAAAAGAATATATCTACAAGAGGAAGCTGTTGTGAACTTAAGAGAAAAAAAGTACATTGCTGAAGCAGGTAATTATATAATTATCATATTAAGTACATTTAAGGAAATGTATGCTTTGACATTTTTTACTTTCAATTGCCACTCTCGAATTTCGTTTTAAACATATGCATTGAATAGCAAAATTGTTATAGAATTTGAAGCTATGAGATAAATTTTATAAATATAATATAATATATAAAATTTTATTCAATAAATAAAATTTTGGTCTATTTTACCAGTAAAAGAACATCGACTAGTAAAAGAATAGTTATATTTTCCAGTGTAAGAACATAGTAATTTATATTAATATAGAGACTAGAAATAAAAAAGATTATAAAAAAAATGTTACAAATATTCTGAAACAATTTTATAACTTACTATTATCCATAATTTCTTGATTACGTATCCAGAAATATGATTTAATTGTGTAATAATTTTTAACTAATTTTCTGTTTGTTTTATTCATTTGACATCTATATAACTGACTAAAAAATTACAAAACTATTTTCAAAAATAACTTGAATATTGAATCTATTTTCTTACCATAAACTATATTTTGAAAAAATAAGGTATTAAAAAATATTTTTTTTATAGTGCTCAAAGTTATAATTTGTGAATTATCGTGATAGATAAACAATTTGGTCTTTTACTGATGCCAATTCTTTCACTGGTGCAACTACCCTATATACTTTTTAGAAAAAATTTAAAAACTAACAATTTTTATTAAACCAAATTCATTAACTTTGTTTAAAATTTTAAAGGCAACATGTCAGAATCAATGTCCGACGATTCGTTTGAAGAATCGGAAATTAGCCACCAAGAGAGACTTATAAATCTTGTACAGGGTTACCCCTGTCTATATGACAATAAATGTCCCGAGTTTAAAGAAAAAGGCGTTAAAGAAAATGCATGGACAGAAATTGCCAAAACTTTAAAAATTATCCGTAAGTATACTACATTTTTAATTTAATATAATTTTTAATTGAAGATTGTTTCTCTTGAGAAATATATATTACAAAAGTTAAAAATAACTATATAAATGTTAGATTTATTTTAATAAATATTGTAATACCTAAATAATTGGGTCAGAATTTCTCAAATGGTAAATTTTTTTATTCCTATTGTGATTAAAATGATATTTAAATAATTAATATTATATGTATTGAAAAAAATGCACATTCATAGCATTCAACTATAGAGTCTCGTAATTATTATTTATGATAAATAATAGTCATTGTTATTATTCAAATATTTAACAAATACTTTTTTTGATTTTGAAATCTGTCAACCGTATTTCAAGAAAAAAATTTTTCTATTGAATACTACAAGCCTGTTTAAACGCAAATAAATAAATAAGTAAAATATTGTTTAAAAATAAAATTGTCCATAACTTTGACAAAAAAAAATTAGAAATTTATTTTAATCATTCTAAGAATAAAAAATTATTTAACGTTAAAAATAATTACTTTTTTAAAATAATAGGTGATCCGCTTGAGAATTTCTGACCCAATTAATTGGGTAACAATATTTATTATTAATATTATATATATTTATATATATAATATAATATAATAAATATTATTATTAGTATATTTATCAAGAGAAACAATCTTCAATAATAATCACAAAAAAATTTACCCAATTACAAAATTGTAACAATATAGTATCAAAATAATTATAACTATATACACTCAAGAAAATTCTTAACAGATTTCACTACTTTTCATAGTTCATTAAGTCCCAAAGAAATTTTTTCAATTATATTAAATATGAAATTCAGTGAAATGAACTAAGAATACTATAAAAGTAAATAAGCTTTGTCACTGATTTTACTAAATTAGTAAAGTAACTTTAAATAGTACTTTGTGCAATTGTTTTAATGGTATTTTTACAACTGAGAAAAAGTAGTTAAATTAATAAAGTAAATTGATTCATTTTATTACAAAAGTGGTTAAATTAATGTTTTTACTCTACTATATGACTGTAATTGAACTTTTCATAAAAAATGTTTTCAGTGTATTTCAAAAATCAGTCTATATTATGTACATTGGTTAAAAAATTGAGAATTCATGCATATTTTTTCGTTTTGATTATCAAAGAATCCAAATATGCCTATAAATACTCATTTATTTCGTCAATATTTTGTTTATTTTGTTCTCAAATTAGAGATTAGCGTATTTTAAAATCCTAGCCTTATCAGATTAACAAATATTAATTTCAACGAAAGTAGTAACAATTTTTTAAAAAATTAGAGAAAACAATCAAACTTTTTATAAATTTTATCTCTTGTCAGACCACTATTTAACTTTCTGTGCCTATAGATTTTTTAAGGTCGAGAAATAAAATTTTAGCATTACAATTAAAAATAACCAATAAAACTAAAGTTATCACAATTTTTGGAAAATCTAAAATTTTGATATTTTGTTAGCTGTCAAAAAATAATGGAATAGATGTTCAAAAATATTTTATAAATTTTGCGAGTATTTTTATTAATAAAAGTAAATTTTTTAGCTGCAGAAGCTATGAAGGATTGGGAAAATTTACGAGACCGATTTTCAAGAGAAAAAAGGGCTCAGGAGGATGAAACGGCCAGCGGTAGCGGCTCGACTTCCAGAAGGCAATTCGAATATTATAAACAGATGTCGTTCTTAATAAAATTTGTAAAAAAGCGGAGGTAATTAATAATTAAATATTAATTAATCTGTCACCATGGTAAACCACCCTGGCCAATCCTGATGATCAAAGTCTGACCGAATTTGGTCAGGTTTTGATAAACTTTTGAATAGTATGTACAATATCGCAACAAATTAGAAACATATGATAAAAGAATGTTAAATAATGCTAAAGTAGTCTTCATTTAATTTATTTGTGCGAGAATTATTTACTAATTACATCATTTGCGACGTTTTTAAAAATGTTTTTTTTAGAACCATAGCTAACATACATGGAAAGAGGTTGTTTACTCAAGTGGGAGAGTCACCAAAAATGGTAGTCAGTGAGAATAATGAGAATTATGATGAGTAAGTTTATTTAAAAACTTTTGAAATATAAATAAATACGTCCGCATGAAAAGGAACCACTTTGTCGGTTCCAGATTCCGAGATAATTGCGATTTACTAATTTTGAGTAAAAATATCGAATTTTTTCTTAATCTACAGGGTCTCACACGTCGAATCATGCAATTTTCAAAATGTTATTCCTACTTTAAGTATTTTATTTCGTTGTTTGAAAAAAAGGAGAAAAGGGACCACTTTGTCGGATAACCGAATTATTTTTTTATTGTTTGAAAATGGAGGGAAAAATTCGAAACCTATTGATTTTCCTTCCTAATGGTGTACTAGACTTAACATTTTTAATTTAATTTTTAATTTCAGTTTTTAGAAATTAAATTTTCGATATTTTTTAAGAGTAGTCAAAATAAAGTCCCTTAAAAAATTTTTTTACATCTACTTTCTCTTTTTTTGCTTCAAATAATTCAATAAAATAACACCCAATCATTAACTTCGTTAAAAAATCTGGTTTATTAATTAAAAAACATTTTTTTTAGAAAAAGAGCCACTTTGTCGGATGTCTGTTCATTTTTTATTGTATCAAAATGGGGGGGAGTGAAAATTCGAAATCTATTGATTTTTTGTCTTTAAGGTATACTAGACGTAAAACTACTCTTATCTGAATAACTTCCCAGAAGAACCAATGATATTTGCATTTCAAACTTCGATTTGATTTTTCTCGAAATGAGATTTTTGACATTTTGAACTTTAAAATCCTGTAATTCAGCCCGTTTTGAACCAAATTAGACTTAAGACGTTTCAAAATTTTACAAATTTAACAAGGAATTTGACCATATAAATAAGTCCAATAGTGTCGAAGTGGTCCCTTTTCATGCGGACATACACACATATGGATTTAGCCATGTTTTAAAAAATTCCAGTGGGCAAAAGGACATGGGATGTTTTTCGGATGTCCCTAGGCTGAAGACATCCTGTGTCCCCGTGCCCACTGGAATATATAGTGTTAATACATGTGAAACTTAATGTTTTTCCTAGTTAATTAACTATGATATTTAATGAATTTTTTTTTCTTTAACGATATTTAACTGACGATATTGTAATTTAAATTAAAGCATTATTAGAGATTTTGAGTGTTATTAAGTTTTTATTTCAATAACTTACATATTCCAAGATATCTCTTAATTTAAAACAGACTGGGAACCTAAGAGGAACCCAATTAGTTTTTCCTTTTGTGTTTGTACACAAACAACAGAAGTGTTACTTTGAAATTTTATATTATGTATTTATGCTTTTTTATTTAGAAATTTCGTTTTTTTGAAAGATTGAAAGTTTTACATTTTTTATAATGTATCGTAGTTTTAAACATGTACTCAATATTGTCAGAAAAATTTCATTTTTTTCATATTAAAGATTTTATTTTTTTAGCAATGTGGGTCCAAAACGTTCACCTTTTCAAAAAAGAGAGAAAAAAGTCAAGGTTGAATCACTGGATGGACTTGAAACTACCCTAAAATCATTAACGAAAACTGTGCAAGAAAAACTCACGAATGATAATGAAATGATTAATAATAATCAAAAGAACAATTTTCAAATGAACGTTTCAGATAAAGATAGTGCTTTTATTTCATTTATAATGATGCAAATGAGTGAGTTGCCAGAAAACATAAAAGCCCGCTTACAGGCAGAAATTACTAATTTAATTTGCAATGCAATCGTTGAGGCATTAAAGGAGAAGGTTTAAATAATTGGTATTTTGGCAAATTTTTCTTTTAAAAATGTTTTATATTTATCTATAATTTTTTAATTACCTACTTAAAAAAATAATTCACCATTTAATGGTCTTCTTTTCCTAATATAGTGATATGTTGTGATACTAGCATGTATTTTTCATATATAAAAATTGCTTTATAAGCTAGTCAAAGAAAAAAGGAAATACATTGTGATATTAGTAGTACTAGCATTGACATACATATAAATATGTATATGTTTAATGATTAATAATGTGAGAATAACTATTTGTTGTTTTGTTTGTCACAGTTTCTATAATAATCGATATTTTAAATATGGTCGAAAATGCGAAAAGTATAAGAATAGTTTTCTGGAAACGTTCAAAACTCTAAAATAGCAACAAACTAAAATCATAGATTTCTATGAAAAGCATCTAAAATTGTGATTTTTCAGTAACCATTTTCTATTAAATTAACATTTTTTGTATTTCTTATTTCAGAGTTATGAACTTCTCATACTTTTGTGTTGTAAAAGGTTCGAATTTATCGAATTGTTTATGTTAATTAAGCGTTAAATAAAATAAAGTTGGATCCAAGTAATGATGTTTGTTTTAATCTTGTTTCAAATCTTGAATTAACATTAAAGTTGTTTTTAAAAATATTTTTCTAAGACGCTCAAAAGTAAGGCATGTGGAATACTGATAAAGAGAATTTAAATTATAAAACCTGCAAAATTTAGTTTTTATTGAATAATGACGGTTCTAGAATTTTTATTTCCTTAATTTTAAAAAAGAAACCAGAACAGCAAAAATTATATTACTTTAATGCAAAATCTCTTTTTTACATAATATGAAAATTTAAATATGAACTATTCAGATTCAATTAATTAACTAATTTATCAAGTAACGAGAATAACGGTATCGATAACGAGTTATTTTTTTTGGTAACTTGTAAAGAAAAATCGTTACTCTCATACTAAGTCTCATAAATAAGAATATTATAATTGGAGACAGTGCAGTACCGAAGATAATTTTGTAAATTCTACAGACTTCTTTAATCTTTTCTTGGCATAGAATTGGTTGCAGTTAATTCTATCTAAGTTATTCGTCTTGTAAAAGTTCTTGAAAATAAAAAAATCAATTACCGTCAATCAAGTGGGGAAATTATGGAACAGAAAATGCGATTTTTAAGTTTCTTCTTCACTAAAAGTCTAAATTGTATAAAATTTTTTTTAAACTATTCAAATATATTGTAAACACCCTTCTGAAGATTTTCTCCAAGTTCCATTAACAAAAAATTTTTCTGACGGAATTATTCAAACTTGAATATTGTTTCATAACTGACCGCATTTGGGGTAATTATAAAACAAAAGTATAACATAATAATAATAATAATAATAATAATAATAATAATAATACATAGAAGAATTTATCAATCAATCCGAATCAAATTTAAAGCATTTATAGTTTATCTGTATCGACAGTACATAAATGCTTTAAATTTGATTCGGATTGATTGATAAATTCTTCTATGTATTATAATTATCACCGAATGATAAATTCATCTATAGTTAATAAAAGTATAACATGTTTTCTTTGTCTATATATTAAGAAAACTTTTTATTTAGTACTCAAGTGTAAAATAATAAAACAAAACAAATAACAAATATTATTATCTGGTATCTTTTAATAAGCTTTTTTGAATTTGAACGCAAACGAAATTTGTGACGACCTATAGAAAAAATGGCGTTAATGTATGGGACAGTGTGTGACATGGGGGGGTGGTCGAAAATGGTCAAAAATCGCGTGACGTATTATGTGTACGACCTCTAATTCATTTTTAAATCATTCTTGGTTAATTGAGTACTATCAAATAAATATTTAGTTGAAGCAAATAAAGTTTATTTGATTAAAGTAAACTGATCTGCGCTAAGAATTAAGTATTTCATATAAATACCAATGACTCTAAGAAAAGTAACCATTGCAAAAAAAATTTATTAATAGAAGTAAAAATTTGATACAATTAAATATTATTTTATATTAGTGAAAATTATTTTGAAAAAGTAGATTAAAAAAATCCATATACGTCAAAACAGAATTAAAAGAAATATTTTACAAATTAAAAATATTGACCACAAATAAAAATTATTTGCTACCAATAGAATTAATTTCATGTCCAAAATAATAATTATTCGAGAAAGAAACATTTTTATTTCCCAATAAATGTTGCTTACTCAAGAAAGTTAATTTAAAAATGGGTTTAATTTTAAAAAAAGTTGTGAACTTTTTTAAATACTTTGATTCCAAAACATTAAGAATATTTTATTACTTTAAAATATATTTGGATAAAATTTTACAATTTTTTTAAATTCAATTAATAATAAATAATTTAAATGAAATTAAAATGCTATTACCTAAAGGGAATCACAATATCACGCGTACCTTAGTGCGCGTATATTTTGCTAGTACTAAATAGATGCCATTTTTCATAGAATTGCACTTTTATTCAAAAGCAAAATTTTAATTCCATATGAATCCTGATATTTCATTCTAAATAAAATCATTCTCAAATTCAAATTAAAAACAGATTGATTGATTTAACTGTTAATCTGAAAGCTCGCATGTTTTCAGTCATTCAACGTTGAGGTAGAAACAATTTTTGGCAATCTAATAATTATACTCTGTAGATAAAATCAAAGAATGTTTTGAGACAATTTATTGAATAATTTATATTTTGATTAAACAATTTTTTCAATAACCTTTTGAATTTTTTCTTTATTTTTTTTACAAAAGTGTAGTTTTTTTAATGTTTTACATTACTTTTTAAAGCTAAAATAAAATGAATCGTTGCATTATTTTTTTCGCCTTTAAAAACGTTGCAGACTTCAACCTCATTTAAATAGCCTAAAATCTTAACTTCCATTAATAACAAAATTTAATTTCATCTATATATCTAAATATATGTATGAATAAAGTAACTCTTAAAATACTATAATACTGTTCCATCACATATGCATTTGCTTTGAGAAAATAATTATTTCTCAAATACTGTTGCTTATATTATTATAAAAACATTTTTCATACAACTAGGTAACAATAACCTTTTTGGACATGTTTTAATTTAACATATACATGATAGATACTTAACATATACTACGTACAAAATTTAAATAGTTACATTATTTTTATGATCACAGATTTCTTCAGTCTTCATAATAATTTTCATTGCGAGTTGGTTGAATATAAAAAAATATTATTAGAACAAAAATTAAGTCAAGTTGCATATAAAATTTTTAAACGAAAAGCAAACACGAAACGAGTATTGTATTATTATTCCAATTATTCATAAAACTGTCTTTTTGACACTGTCAAATGTTAATGTTTAGTCGTTTTCTTCCTTAACAATTGGAAAATGTGTTTCGGTAAGAATTTTTGCGAAACTGAGAGCAAATAAAAGAAAATGTGATATCGAAATAACTAAATTATTACAATCTATAACTGTTTTTTCCTCATTGTAGCGAAACATTTCTTTGAAAAACATTAACTTATTTCATTTTTCACTTGAAATTATCAATTTTTTGTGAAACGAGATAACATTGAAGTATATGCAGTATATAAGAAAAAAATAATTAAAAAGCATTTTACGATAAATAAGCAAATTTTATAGTTTTCCGAAAAAACTATTTATTCTGAGATTTTGAATACGTTCTGACCCTTTCAAGGTAGATCTTTGAAATATAAAAAAGTGCATTGAATACAGAAACTAATGTTGGTAGAAATAGAAATTATTATTCTACAGTTTTTTTTAAAATTCCACTAATGTATGTCCACTCCAGAGGGAAGTTTTAATGATTCAAAAATAAGGAATGAAGCTGAGGAAAATGTATCTAATTTTGTTCGAATTACTGGTGCGTGGAACGCCTTAATTCCCACTTCTTGCTGAAATTTCTGAAAATGAGGTCAAACATGTTTCACCGTAATGCAATGATTTTCGCCTTTTCAATGAAAAATAAAAATAAATAAAAAAAAATAAAAAAAAAATACTTTTCAATGGGGACTAGAAAATCTTAAGACATCCCTTCATCAGACTTATTACACTTTTAGCCACATGAGTTTTATCTTGAGTAGGACAACCGAATTTGGATTGCGAATAGCCGATTTTGAAAGTCATTTAGCATCTTAATTGAGCTAAGAAAGTTGACAGACAGTTGTCGTAAAACTCCATATCACATATCATCTGCATGTCGACCCCGCCTTATGTAATCGTTTTGCCACGGTATAGATCCAGCAGGAGTCATGAAAAATCTGGCTAACTGATCACGCATTTCTTGCCCTGCCAGTGTCTCTTGTCGAGAAGTCCTTGGGGGAAAATCCTGTAATTGATCTCGCCCATTAAACCGCCAATCACCTAAAGTTTGAAGATTCGTAAATAATAAAAATAAAAATGTAAGAATGTTATTTTTAGAATATAAAAAGTAGAAATATACTTTCTAAAATGTGAAAAAGAGAAAAAATAGTATATTATGTGGCAAGCACGTAAAGCAATACTTTTAGGTGAGGATATAATTTTCAGTACGAGCTATCGTTGATGCGACTGAGGTGAGATGAAGGCGAGCGGGTCGAGCCGCAGTCAAGTCGAGTCGAACCGAAGTCGTACAGACAGCGAGTACCGAAACCATCCGAATCTAAAAATTGCTACGTGCGAGCTCCATACGCTATTTTTTCGCCATTGATATGAAAAAGTGAAACATTTTAAAAGAAAAACAAATTGTCGTAAAAAGTTTTTTTTGGCAGTAATCTGACAAAAGAGTCTTTTTATAGCAGGTAGCCCAACCTGCCTTATGAAGTGCTACTTTGTCTGCCCAAAACAGGCACAAAAAGACACTTTTTAATGTCAATGGCGAAACAATATTTTTGTAGACATGTAATATTAGTAGACGCTGCTGAATTATAAAGATTTTTGGATGATAGATGCTTTAATTTTGAGGTGTGCAATATTAATACCTATATAAAAATAAAGCGAGATTTGGACAAGATTAAGAGAATCTTCAATTTGAGTAAATATTTAAAGAAATGGAGTAATCGCATGGTGATGAGACATAGTTTCTCAGTGAAAAAAATTTTGATAAATATCTTTCTACTTGACTGAAAATAAGTATTTCTCATAACACTGTACGACAAAAATGATATTTTTTTTCTCAAATTTACTGAGAAATCTTTAATTTACCGCCATTTTATTATTATTTTTGGTATTCAATATTAATTGTCTAGAATTTAGCATCAGGGCTGTAAGACAAATTTCAATATTGAAGTTTCCTTCATCGTTGCAGAATATTCAAATTTTTAAATAAAATACGAAAATATTTTGATATTTTAGAGTTTCTAATAATAATTTCAGCTTTTTATTAAATACTGTTTTTTCCCTTAAATTCAGTTTGTTTTGTACATACATAACAAATAATTACATTATCTTTATTTTTTTTGTTGAAATTATGCATTTTCAGTAGTAAATAAATAATTAAATATGTAAACTGTAAATTATATGAAATATTTTTTAATTTTTATGCCAAAAAAATTAATTTGTTTGTCACTTGTTTCACAATACTGAAGTTATACATGGCGTAAATTAAATGTGACATAACAAAATTTAACGTAACTGGAAAAATGATTTTTAATTGCCTTATTGTAATAACTTCTCAATTTTTCTTTATCGAAATTGTTGGCTGAGATTCAAGGTTTTATTTGAAACCAAAAACAAAATTCTTCCGCCTCTTGATTTTTTTCAATTCAATATCAAAGATAGTCACAGGCATGCTTTTTCGACTTTTTAACACTAGTTTTCTCAAAAACTTGACGTGCTAGGGCGTTTTTCTTTGCAGAATCGTAATTAGCGTAAAAACATCTATCGAAAGTGACCAGAATTATTCCAGGGGCAAAATCAGTGTCGAACAGTGTAATTCAAAAAAAATCTAGTCTGGTGAAAATTCACTACTCGCTTAAAATGGATCAGTGACAAGTGAGTCACTGAGATTAAGTGAAATTTAACTGAGAAATCAATTAAATTCTACTGAGACTCAGTAACACTTTACTGAGAATCAGTGGTTTTTCACTGATGAATCAGTATCCTCTGTCATAACTGATTTCAATCAGTGATATTTTCACTGAGAATCAATGAAATTTTACTAAATTTTCAGTTAAATTTCACTGAGACGGAACAGTGTCAGACTTCTTGCTGATTAATCAGTGAAATTACACTGATTCAATTTAAGAGAGTAAAAACCATGAAAACAGTGTCTCACACGATTTTCGGAAAAGAAAATAATAGACAGAATTTGAAAATTTGAAGAAAATTTTTTTATTCCGACCGACTTTAGCATTTCTTTTCTTCATTTTTTCCATTCTCATTGAAAAGCTTAGACTGTTTCCAACAAAATATGTATGAAATGAGTTTTTGCTAAAAAATTCCAAAGAAATATAAAAAATTCTTTTTTTTCATGTTTTTTTCAAATTCATTATCCCAATTTCATCTCTATACATTTTATTGCAAATAATCTCAAGTGTTTAATGAAATCAAAAAAATTTTTTTTTAAATTTTGTCAATTGAAGTGTAAAAAAGAGGCTAGGAGAAAATTTACATTTGAGGCAATTTTTGGTTTAAAAGCATGTGATTGAAAAAATTAAGTGAAAATAAATTGATACCTACCACGACCATAGGTGTGAAGGACTTTGCAGTTGAATCTAATAACTTTTAACAATAATATTATTATTTATGGCAAAATCGAACCAGGGGGTGGGGCAAAGATTGCACATTTTTTAAAAATGTTGCAGCAACTAAGCAATACAATTTAAGGCATTGGTGTCTCTGGGAAAAAGTTGTGTGATTAGACCATCTTTCAAGCAAGCAATTACATATAAAAAGGATTTCATTCATTCCTTTAGTTACAAGAACCTGAAAACTGTTACTATGTCAAGTTTGCCACACTCTCCCCTATATATCTATATATTCATTATATTTCAAATGCAGTCGTTGCGGCCTAATTTTTAAAAACATTGATTCATTTAGAAATGGATCAGTATCATATCTGGAGAACGAAACAAAATGAATCATGTTAAAATATTTATAACGTTACTTAAAATATGACTGTAAAATGAAGAAGGTGCGGAAAATGTCACTTTTTCAGCAATTAGAAAACACGCGAAAAAGCACAGAATAATTCTTAAAAGTGCAAATTAGCTTTTTGAATTTGGCCCCCCAAATATCCTAAGTTTGATGTTTTTATTAATTAATTACAAGAAGGTGGAATTATGAAATTAAACAAAAATCTCACTAAATATGGAGCATTTTTTATGAACTTTCAGGTTTTCTCTTAGCACTTTTTTAACTCTTTCTTTAAATATGCAAGAAATATTATGTTGAAAGTACGCGATTTCTGAATCTTTGCATACTTTGCAACTTAATACTTCTTTCCATTAAAGAAAAATAAAAAAATTTGTCACTTTCGCAACTTCTAAATTACACCGAAATCTACATACACTATAATTTTCGTTTTGGTTCCGAATTTCTTTAAAAATATATAATGATTTAAAAATTGAAAAATTATTCAGGGTAAAACTGTTTATTTTCTTCTAATTGAAGTTGGTTTTTAATTTAAACTCCTTGATCGGAATATGAATAATAAATAGAAACCATCTTTAATTAGAAGAAAACAAACAGTTTTAACCTGAAAAAGTTTGTAATTTTTAAATCTTTATATGTTTTAAAACAGATTTGGGACCAAAACAAAAATTGTGGTGTATGTGGATTTCGGTGTAACTTTGAAGTTGTGAAAGTGACAAATTTTTTTATTTTTCTTTAACGGAAATATTAAGTTGCAACTTCAAAAAGCTATTTTTTCTATTATTTTAATTTTTCCACTAATTAAAATATTGAAAAATGATTAAACAAACAATTTTAAAAAAGAATCAATAATTATTTTTTCACTTTAAAGAATTATTCTTTGTTTTTTTACATGTTTTCTAATTGCTAAAAAAGTGATGTATTTTCGCACCTTCTTAATCTTACACTCATATTTTAAGAAAAGTAATAAATATTTAAAAATAATTATTTTTATTTCGTTCCCCAGATATCATACTGATTAATTTCTAAAAGAATCAATGTTTTTAAAAATTAGGCTGCAACGACTTTATTCAAAATATGATGGTCTGACCCTATAATATTATTGTTATCTTAAATACAACATCAACATATTATTATATATTTTTACAAGTATATTTACCGAGAATAAGGTGACCATCATCAGTTTCCTGGTCAATGTAGGAAAGCGGACAATATCGACGATTTTGAGCTTCTTGCATGTTATTGACAGACATGAGATAGTTGTGCAAACAAATAACTGCCATTACAATGTTTTCTACCCTTTCAGGGTCGGCCGAAATACTTGTGTATAATATCCTCCATCTCGATGATAAAATACCAAATGCATTTTCGACTATCCTTCTAGCACGTGAGAGCCTGTAATTGAAAATATTTTTCATGTCTCCCAAAAAAGAACCTCCGTATGGTTTCATCAATTTTGTAGAGATGGGAAAAATGCTGTCTCCCACAAGGTAAATAGGTGTACTGATGTTCGAATTATCAATTGGGAAATATTCTCTAGGAAAATTTAGAGAACCGTTGAAAAGACCTTCTGATATTTGAGACTCATGGAAGATACCCGCATCATTGCAGCTTCCAAAAGATCCAATGTCAACTAACGAGAACTTATATTCATAATCACAAACTGCCATTAGCACAATGCTAAATGTTTTCTTGTAATTAAAAAATAAAGTCCCGGAATTTGAAGGAGCTCTTATATGAATGTGTTTTCCATCAATCGCCCCTCCGCAGTTAGGTAAGTTCCAAACTTCTTCAAACCCCTTGCTAATTTGAACCCATTTTTCTCTAGTTGGAAGCGATAGATAGTCCGGTGATAAAGCTTTGATAATAGCGATGCACGTTTCCTTAATGACGGACCGAAGCGTAGATTCTCCAATGCGATAAGCAGAAGCAATTGAAAATATATCACTACCACTTGCCAAATATCTGAAAAAAATATATTTATTTATTTATTTAGATGGAAATACTATAGTATTCAATTTAATGAAATTTCTATTCAAAAACATTTTTTATAAGGCATTTAGACATTAAGACATTTTATGACATTTAAAAATTTTCCAGCAAAATTATCCTTTTATGCCTAAGCAGAAAGTACCTATATCTACGAATAAATAAAGTACTTGATACCCACTTGAGAGTCATTGCAAGTCGATGCTCAGGAGACAAAGATTCTCTACGACTTCTTTTCAGAAGAAATGGCGTCACTTTTCTTAATAAGTCATTGAAGCAATCCAAATTCATTCGCGTATATTTGAAAAAATAAACGTCATCGTGTTTAATTTCTTGAAAGAAGGTTGCGAATTCGCCAAGCTCCTTTCTTCGCTGATTGATGGGTCTCACGGCCCATCTTCTTCTGGAAGAAGTTTCTTTTTTTAATAATATTATGAGCGAAGACAATTGGATTATTACGAGTAAAGCAGCATACAGCTCATTGTTCATGTGATTGTCCATTTTTCCCCAATTTCGAATTACTGGAAAATAGTGAAACATGCTTTCGAGATATAGAGGAATCATCTATCATCTATCTATATTAATAAAATCAGACTTTTGTTTGTACATTGCCCAAAATTGATTTTTTCTAGCATAATTTATCGTTTTGAACATCAGACAAACCAAAAATGACCAGAAAAAAATTTGTGTCTGTATGTATGTATTTATGTGTGTATGTATGTATGTATGTATGTATGTCCGCAAAATTTTGTTCGCTTATAACTGCAAAACGGCTGGACTGATTGAAATGAGACTTGGCAGTTTTTTATACCAACCATTTTCACAATAAATTTAAAAAATAAACAATTAATCCGAATTTATAAGCCAAATTCAAATTTTTTATTTAAAAAATTTTTTTAATTCATTTTTTGGATGAATATTGTTTAATTCTTTAAAGATATATGTATTGGTATTTTTTTATGTCTTCAATTTTTAAATTATCATCATTAAATCTATTTTATTATCAATTTAGTAAATGTAAATTTTTGAATTTCCATTGTTCTGTTAAAGTTAATATAATTCTTCAAATAATTGAAATATTTTATTGTTCTTGGGCATAATTTTAAAAGATATAATTTGCAATCGAAATATGTTATTTGTTGAAAATTTAATCAGTTTTTGAATAGGAAGCAGATGTTTAAGTATAATTAGAAGAAAAACAAATTTACCTCTGAAAATTATAATAATTTGTCACATTTTTTAGATTAAATTTTAAAAAAGAAAATTTTTGCAAAAAAATTATGACATTACTGACTATTAAATATTTAAATTATACGTATAGAAATTACCATGAAAATAAGTCAAAGAACATGAAGTGTTAATTAGTACATTTTAGAAAATAATGAATTCTTTTTAGAATTAAAAATGTATCATTTACCCAATTTTTGCAGATTGTGTAAATTAAACTGAAATGGACTAAATAATAATTCAAAATTTATCAAAACATATTTTTAAACATAAAAGCACGTATAGTTGGATTACACCCGTCGAAGACGGGTACGACAGCTAGTTAAATCATTAAACAAAACCAGAAAGATTACTTATTTACTTACTTTCTGGGTAATCTTTCTAGACATAGATTTTTTTGAATAATTTTCTTAAAATTCTTATAAGTTAAATGTTCCTACTAATTGTTTTAATTAAGTAATTTTTTTTCGTTCAAATCAATTATTTGGTTTCTCAAAATATTTTTTGTTTAATAAAACAATATTTTAATTTGTTGTTTTTATTATAGAGTTTTAAATAATCTATCGGTTCCTGAAAGTTTCGCTGATATTGAGCGAATTTTTCCAACTTTCAGTTTAGTACATTTGAAACTGAGGAATGTATTGGAAACCAAAAAGGCTGCAAAATTTGTGTTTTTGTATAATGTTCTGAATTCAACAAATTAAAAAAAAGAATGTTACATAGTTAATTTATTACATTTATCTAACCCTCGGAGCACACTCAGAGTCTCTGTGATAGGTGACTCTGTTCACTTTTCAAAAATGTACCATTTAAAAACTTCTCAATAGATCGACATACAAAATTGCTTAATATTCTTTGAACATTGTTTAATAAGTTTTCATACTTAAAAAGTTTCATTATAATAGAAATAAAATATAAAAAATACTAAAAAACAATAATTTTTCAGAAGAACGTAAAGTTATATTTTGTAAAAAATTGTAGTTCTTTTAATTTTTAATATTTTTAGCTTATATTTTATTTTCAGGCCTCAGGACTTCTAACTGTTGAATTTTTTTTAAAGAAATTTAAAGTTAAACTAATAGACAGGGTCACACATACCTTATATGTGCTCCGAGGGTTAAGGATTAAAAATCAGTATTTTTAATTTTGCCAAAGAAGCATTAGAAATCAGAATTCTGTAACAGTTTTCTAAAGTTTTTAAAAAAAAAAGATTTTTATTATAACTTAAAAGTGAATTTACTTAGTATGTATGAATTTTCATCTTTAAGTAAAAACGATATAAAATATTGCTAATTTAAAACTAAGTTTTACCTTTATTTTATAATGATTACTTTATTTTTAACACCCCAAGATAAATTTTAATATTTTCTTGATAAAAGTAGAAGCATTTTATAATGAATTTATTATTCATTTTATAATTTTTAGTATCAACAAAACGAACCACTTAAAAATAAATATTTAAAAAAAGTATTAAAAAAATTTTATTTGAATAAAAAAATCCGATTTAAATAAAAAAATCAAATTTTTTTGATTTTTTTTAAAAAAAATCATGGTTCTTATCAGCCCTGAAAAAACCAAATATTGTTCTGAAAAAAAATTAATTTTTCCAAAGTTAAAAAATCATTTATTACATTCAGTAAATAGTATTAAATAATTATGTAGTTAATGAATATGATATGTCGCATGCCTAATAATTGAGTGGAAAAGACAACTTTTTATTTTGCATCTATTTTGGAAAAAGTCAAAAAAATGTTGAAATTAAGTTATTTTAATTTATTCATAAAAAAATTAAAGAAAATTAAAGAAAATCATTGATTTTTTCCTGACTTACCTAATCGTTAGATACCTTGAATGATTATTGAAAAATAATTAAGAATTTTGATGACAAAAATTTCATAACCTAAAAAATTATTATTTTTATTTTTTTACTTAAGATGATTTAGTTAAAAAATTCCTTAAGAAATGTATTTTTTCTCTTAAGTTTTTGACAACTTCCTTTTGTCAAAAATTCTTTTTTATTATAAAAAATATCAATTTTCTTTTAAAACGAAATAAAAAAGCTACGAGGCAAACCGACGCTACAATCATACATTAAATTTCAGGTTATACGGTAACGGTCTACGGATATCAACGCACAATAAACTCGCAATCGCAAACGGAACGGGAACGCCATTACGATTCCGTTTGCGATTGCGCTTACGATTACGACGCTATTCTGCTCAGGCCTTTAATGAGCTATAGCAAAGTCAGCTGTGTTTGCGACCTTCAACTCAGCGTCGTATATTGAATTCTTAGGGGCCCTTAAAAAATATTATAATTTACATTTGCTAAATATTATTAATTAGTTAAATGTTTATGATTAAAATTAAAATTTTTTTGAATTTAAAGTTAAAAAAATTATAACAAAAAACATAAATAAAACATTTCCTAATTAATAATGTTAGACAAATAATTCTGCACTTTGAAAAGTAGAATTAAACAAGACAAAAATATAAATTTGCCATGGAAATAATTTATCCAATATGATTGACAAATATTTAAAAAAAATTTTTTAAAAATTTAACCAATGATAAATATATTTATCCAATAAAAATAATAGATGTAGATTGAATTTCATTAGACAATAAAATATTTTGTATATTTACCATATGTTTTTTAATTTTTTTTTAAAAAAGCCTAGCCTTTTTGATTTTATAAAAAATATAATTAAAGAAAATTTTGAAACCAAAATTGTAATAAAAACAATTAAGCTAAAATTTTTTATTAAATTGCGGGAAAAAGAATAATATGTGACTCTTTACTTAGCAATAGACCAAACGCAGCAAATATTAAAAGCTCAGTTTTCCTTGAACGTGCAAAGAAAAATGTGCCTTATGTATTTGCCAAGTTGGTTGCTTTTCAACCTGAAAATTTGCAAAATGTACACTCGTTACTTTGCCAACGACATCTAAATCCAAGATTTGAAAATTAAAATAAATGGCTTAAAAAAAATATTTTAATGTTTTATTGTTGCAATGTAACATTTAATGTTGTAAAAGATGATAATTTTTTTCGAAAATAATCTTTGGGAATAACGAAAAAAAATCAAAAAAGTAAATATTTAATAAAAAAATATTCAGTTTTGCCAACATTGTTTTAAATATATGTTATAAAAGATTTTTAAAAATTATATTTAATTAAAGCACATTTATTGCTTTATGATTTTATTAAACAATATTATTAAGTTTATGACAAAATTTTGTATTAAAATATAATTAGAATCCTATAATTAAAAAATTAAAATATTTTCTTTTGTAGGTTTCTACTTTATCCGAAAAATATTGAGTTTCGAATTCCTTGACAAAGTTGCCTGTTTACATTTTGCATGTAACTATTTTATTGTATATGTCAGTTTCTAAGAAATTCTATACACATTATAGGATACATTTAATCTAATTAATTTCTTGTCAAAAAATTAAGAAAATTTTATTAACTATTAAACGAAAAAAACTTACATTACAGATGTCACTGTTGAAAAAGTAAATAGCAAGAGAAACAAATTTTGTTTTTAAATATAAATTTTTTTTTTTGATGATATCTTTAAAGCCAAAATAATATTTTTTTATTTTTCACTTATTGTGAAAAGACGCAGATTCAATTCCCAAATTTGTTACTTAAAATATCTTAAAACTTTTAAATTTGTTAACCTTTAATTTAAACTGGGAAAAATTAAACACTGAGGGAGACCGGGAGTAATGACGAGACACGAACTACAGTCTACTGATTAATGAGCTATAGCAAAGTCAGCTGAGTTAGCGACCTTCAATTCAGCGTCGTATATTGAATTCTTAAGGGCCCTTTAAAAATATTATAATTTACATTTGCTAAATATTATTAATTAGTTAAATGTTAATGATTAAAATAAAAATTTTTTTGAATTTAAAGTTAAAAAAATTACAACAAAAACATAAATAAAACATTTTCTAATTATTAATGTTAGACAAATAATTCTGCACTTTGAATAGTAGAATTAAAAAAGACAAAAATATAAACTTGCCA